TTAAGATTCTCTTATTTGACTCAATATCTTGTCTTTAATGAATCAGAAATAAATAAACAGATTGTCCTTAAATTGTTATACAGTTATGATATGAGAATGTCAAAGTTGATGCTTACTGTTTACATTATATTTTTATTTTACAAATCATAAAAAGTTTTCTTTAATCAAAATTGTGTTCACCTCATAAATATACTTTAACTGCTACAAATTTTTAAGTCCTGGCTACCAAAGCTGTGGAGTTGGCTAATACGTATGAAGGAATTTATCGTTTGGGACATAACATTTACAAAAAAGTGTCAAATCTAAGTACAATTGTTTGGAAGCAAATATTATTCGCACTGCAAATCATTACATCAAATTTAATCATAGATATCAATGTCAGAAAAGTAAAAAAGAATAAATTCATGTATAAAGCTGACAGCAACAATCTCCTCATCATTACACGTATATAAAAAGAAAATGCTTAAAACTCATAAATTGTGTAGTTACTTAAATTAAAGGTTTTAAAAACTAAACAATAAGGTACAAAACCCTGCTGCATTATTGAATATTGCGTCCACATGCTTGAAAAAGACACCATAAATTATTTGCAATAAATTTATAAAAATAATTATAAAGCTATATTCTACTCATGTATCCCACACCCACAACAAAACTTTATCCTAAAAAGGATATAAAAAAGTAAGAAATAAATATGTGTTTCAGGAAGTCCGAATAAAAAGATAATGATAATGCACAAAAACTTTTAAAGCAGCTAAATTTATTCACACCTCATGTTCACTCATGCGTTTTTTTTAAATCGTATGTCGCAAGTGAAACATGCGCGAATTAATATTCGAAGCTTTTCGCGAGAAAATTTGAAACCCGACTTGGCGAATTTCGAAATACGGTGCCAAAGAAGTGCCCGGGAGTCGACAATGTGTAAAGTCGCCACCGGGACAGGGAGCACGGAGAATCGAAAAACACGGAGAATCCGAAAACTCTTTTAATTAGAGAAAAAATCAATATCAGTACAAAAAAATATGAAAATTACTGACATTTGCATGCTGTATAACATCAAACTAGGAATTTTCATTTTAAAAAATTGTGTAATCGTCTTCGTCATATGTTTTACGAACCGCAGTAATGTCACTGTAATCAAATCCTCCCATGTAATCTAATCAAATTTCCACAGAGCAGCAGAAATAGAAATTGTATTTCCCTCATTTACTACATCTTCTGCATCAGTTACTATCATCCCTATTTGATTTAACAACATAACGATGTCTTCATCTGTCAAATACTGGAAGTCAGGCTCACATGCATAACTTTGAAACCAATCTTCAAAATTTTCTTCGTCAAGAATTTCGAAACCTCAGATTTCTTTTGCTTGTTTGAGAATACTGTTTTCTTATTTTTCTTGAACATCTGAAGAAGATTGCTCATCAAGCGATATTATCTTTCTCCAAGATCGTGATAAAGTAGATGATTTTACCTTTGACCATGCTGCTGATATTCAATATATTTCAATCCACTGACGAATATTGCTTCCAAAAATTTGGTAGTGTTGTGACTTCATGAATAAAATTTTTTTTAATCTTTAAAATGTTTCTCTTTATATTTTTCGTGCGACTCCGGAATGACCACAGATAATCCGCGCACGGATAATCGAGAGTTTACTTTAATGTAACAAATGTTCTAGTTTATTTTAAGAGTAACTATTATCTAAGGATACTGATACATATCTCGCAGATTTGATTAACCCTTTATATCCTGACGACACTCATGCATTTGGTTCTTCTTAACATTAAATAAAATAATATTTCCATAATCCAACAGAATTTCTTGATCTTTTTATTTAAATAGTTTTCGTATCTAACTACAAAAACACACTAAAAGTTTAATCTAATCATGATAATTAAAAATATGTTTTACTTTAATATATAAGTGTTTATCTTATTCAATCTATAATACTTATGACTAAGTAGCATATTATTACTAATTGAAACTGCAATGTTAAAAATTTTGTTGGAGTGGGAAACGGCGAGTCAGGAATTTTACTGTAAAAGGTCAGGAAAAACCTGCAAAAGTCAGAAAATTGTTTTCTCAAAATAGTGTAGGAACCCTGTCTTAGAATTAGTCATGAATTTGAAAATCTAAAATGCAGCAGAAACCCTGAATTTTTCTTTCCTGGTTTTGGGATGAAAATTACCCTGTTATTCCTCTAGGAGTGGGGTATATACCCAAAGTTTATGATAATAATAAGGACAAAATTAATAACTTCCATCATGATGTTTGCCTGCCATTTAATTATCCAGTGAGGCGGTATCTATGGGGAACCACATAGAGACTGCTGGCAAATGCCGTTTTAAATCGGGTTGCTTTATATTAATCCCTAATATTTTCCAGATTGCAGCTGTCCCACATATTTTGATTATCAAGAATCAAAACCTGTTCATAAAATCTTTTATTTGTACGGAAAAAGTGTCTTTTTAAGTTTGACTTCATAACCTATTGAACAGTTTTTAAACATCTGATTGTTAGAACGAAAATTATTTGTGGTAATTTTACCTGGTTTACTGTAATCTGCAGGCTATCACTAGGCAAATGATTTAACTGTCTGAATAATCACTTACAGATATTTGTGTGGCATTGGAGCCTCTTTTAACTGCAATATAAATTGGTTTGCACGGGCCACCAGCAACAACAATGACATTGAAGCAATCCCAATTGATATTGTTCAAAGTTGAATGAAATGGAAAAATTAAATGTGTACTCATATATAGTAAAATAAAAATCTCATTTTACCCCAAATATTTTCAATTCAAAATTTTGTTATTGCTTTCATATTAACATGCTTACGTGGATTAATTTTTGTAGCTTCTTTTACCCATGTTTTATTCAGAAATTTTTTTCTTAGGCTGTTATAAGATTCAAGGAAGGAATAGTATCTGAACTTTTATCTAAACTAGAAGAAGAAGATGGTGTAAAAAAGCTACAAATAGGATCTGTAAAAGCAACTCTTTCTCTGATTGATGGTTTGTATAACTTGCTGATTCTTAATTTCTAACTAAAATTTTATTTTTACTTTCCTCTTAAAATTAACTTTACAAATAGGTAGAAGTCTTTTGTTTTTAAAAAGATGTCTGGAGACAAAAGTGCGACAAGTTGGGCATTATGCATTAACATATTGTCTGCTCTAAGCAATTAGCCTGTTTGAGGCCACCCCATTGAACCATTGTTCATTAAGATTGTGTCCTAGATCATGCCCTGTTTGATCATTAGTTCAAAAGTTATTAAGGTTGATCCATATTTTTTTCCCACCTAATTCGAGTAAAAATATTTTTGAGTACTTTAACTGTGCTTATTTTTTTGTTGAGAAATTAGGCTTCTCACTTTTTGATCTTTGCTAAGGACAGACTTCTTTATTTCAATATTTTTTTTCTCTTTTTCTTTATGATTTGAAGAATTAGCAGTGCAGATAATCAGATCAAAAGAAGTCATTCAAATGTTCTAAAAGTAAATTTGTCTGATTTAATATTAAAAAAATCTCAAACACGAAACATTATTGAGTCATTTTCATGAAGATATCTGTAATTTAAAGTGAATTATCTCTTTACTGATGCTCTTTTCAAAATCTCTTAACATTCAACTTCATTAATATTCGTAGTTTATTATTCTCCCCAAAGTTAAACTTCTGGTCTTTTCAAAAAATTCTGTAAGTATTCTTAATAGGACAGAATAAATGTTCTAGGTGCTTCTGTCAGGACTGATTGTGCTCCGGAATTCGGGATTTTTCGCTAACAGTGATCCGGAATTTTCCGGAGATCGAAGGTCCAGACGTTTAAAAAAATCGTTGATCACAAAAGTTTCCGGAAATCAAATTTTTAAAGGTGGAGCTTAAAAACACAGGTTATTTTATTTGTTTGTAAGGGAGAGCCAGATACTTTATAAGCTTATATTCGTGATTAATATTCATTTTTTATCAGTAAATAGTTAATAATCATAAACTCAAGAAAGAAAGACATATCTGTGCATTTTAATTACTTCTCCAGATCATCATAGGTATGTGTAAAATTTTAAAAATATTTTAAGTAAACTAAGAGATATTGAGAAAAAGGAGAAAAAAACCTGGTTAAATTTTTTTTCAATTTAAACTGTCTTTTTTTTTTTAACTCAAGAAATTTTCCGGAATTTTGACTTGGCCTCACAATCACCCCTGTTCTGTTAAAGAGGTATCCGGGAAGAACCTTTGTTACTGTATGTCTCAGCTTAAATTCCCATTATGATTTTTCTGTTTTGGCCCTGGGTCGAAACCTTTATTTTTTTCATAGCTTCAAAAATTTTCTGTCTTATTAATAGTTCAATAAAACAGAAAATCAAAAACATTCGGATGTAATGAATAAATTTTGCGACAAAATTGTTTTGCTGTAATTTACTGTCCTAATATACAAGTAATATTTTTGTTCCCATGATAATTTGTCAAATAACTTTCATATATAACTGGTCTGACACTTTAGTTGATATGTTTCTGATTTTTCTTAAATTTCTATTTAAATCAAATAATTTTTTTTACAGGAGAAGAAGAAACAAAATATTGGGAAAAAATAAAGTCGTTTTCAAAACAAAAAGGGAGTGAGTATTTAAATTTTTGATGATTACCTACCATCACAACCATGCCAATTTTGTAGATAATGCAATAAACTAGTATCCCAAAAGGTGCCAAAGTACTGACCATTAGCTTCTTTCTGAACACTTTCCGCCTTATGTGTTAGTTATAAATGCTTGATGCGATATGCAAGTATAGGTGTGATATAACATATAATTTTTCCTCCTTTTCCCTTCTTCATTCAGATACTTCCCAAAATCACAATTGGCCAAATAAATGGTAACCAATTAACAACACAAAAGAAACATTTATTAATAACGATAAAAAATTAGAAAATTAATATGACCAAGACATCTAAACAATTTGCTTCCGCTCTCCATCAGAGCGTTCCCTCCTCTGTCTTTTTACAGCATCTACCTTGATGACAGCGCCCTCACAACATGGAGGCATGACAATAGGGATGCAAATAAAGGATTTACCAACCAATGAAAAAGATTTTGTGGACTTCCTACAAATATACTTTTCCAGACAGTCGGAATTGTCACCCAATGAAGCTTTATTTCGGAAATAAAATGTTGCATTCAATATGTTGTAATAAAAATTGGAAATTGGTTCGATAGAAGCTGTATCCTGTTATTAACAGTTTTGAGGTTCATTTATTATTATGGTGCAAAGTGTTATTATTACAATTGTATTATTTTTTTGTTTGAATTAGCTAGCCGGGATAGCTTTGATGGAATTTTTTTTTCTCTTTGCAACGGCTATTGTGTTATGTCAGTGCTAAAATTTTTTATTTCTAACTTACTGTTAGTTTTTTGGAACTTCAGTAATTAATATATTTCCACTGGAGGAGAAAACTCCAATGAAAGTTTGTTACTGCATTAATGGTCTGTTCTAACGTGGACACACATTGGGAAATTACTGTTTAAAAATTTAAAGTGTGAATTTTAAATTTTTATTAGATCATCTTATTTGAAATAATGCATTGCTGATGAATGGAAGAAGTAAAATTTTGAGTTTATTTGATTATGTTGATATTTATTATGTTGATATGTGTGATACACACGTTTTAATCAATATTGATATTAATGTTTTTTTTTTCTTGTTTTCTAGACCAAAAGAATTTCAACAAGGGAAGATTTGGTAAGAAAAATCGAAACAGAAACCAAAGAGGAACGAAAAGAAATGGTATATTTTCTTTCAATAGTGTTTCTGTTTTAAAGTATTTAAACCATTGATGTTTAGCCATAAAAAATGGTCTATCTGGGAAATGCATATTTGCGAAAAGTGGTAGTGCATATTTGTTTTATTCCAATTGAATATTATTGTTACCATCTTATCTGCCACGTAATAATTCCATATGTAGATATGTATGTATATGCATCTATACATATAATGACGCCTAGTAATGGTCACATTTTATTGCCTTGCCATTGGTCATGGAATTACGAAGCCTAAGCCTATAGGCCCACAACAGTGTGTTACAGAAATGCATTACTTTAAAGTACTTAGATAAATTTGGCTGTGTTAGCTTTCCCATTTATTAAAGAGGAAAGAAAAACAATTAAGTAAGGGTGGGGTCCATAATATATCCAATTGTATGTAAGAAGTTCTAGGAAATTTAGGCCTGGGAAAATTTTCAATCTAATATAACAGGGTAGCCACCCACCTGGAATTATCAAGGAATTTTTTTATACTGGAAAAGTCAGGGAATTTTTAAGAAAAGCTGGATTTTTTTTATAGATTTTCCTATTTTAAATTATTTTATGATCGTTATACCCACTTTTTTTCGACGTAAATTTATTGTCAGACTGTTAAAATATCAACTTAGCAATATTTTGCATGCATCAAAATTTACTCAATTAATCCCTGTTAAACTAGAATGCCACATAAAACCCATGATTGCTAAATGAATGGAGAAACTTTTTTGGAAACAGTTTAGGGAAGGTAGAGATTGTGGTGGAGGTTGAAGAAGGAGTTAAGTTATTTGCTTCTGATTATAAAAGTAGCATTTGTTTCACTTCTAAACCGGTGGTTGAATCCATTTATCGTTTGTTCCGATGCTTTAAGATTTTTTTCTTTCTTCGGACTAGATCATTAAAAATGTTTTAGTATTTTTAATTTTATAAGATTCACCACAAATTAGTTGATCATAATTACATAGATTTTATGTTACACTCTTTTTCTAAACTTTTGTACTCCCGTCCAAATCGATGAAATTTTTTTCTCTGCAAAGCCAATCAATCACATATTTTTGTTGCGATCACTATCGGTAATGTTTGTCAACAAATCGTTAAAATTTTTGCATTCGCTAATTTGTATCGCATTTTGCTAATTTTCTCGATTTCATTTTAACCTTTTATGGCCTATTTTAATTTAAAAAAAGGTTCTTTTAAGGACCAACCATATGTTAACATTTTGTTGGTAAATATTTGATTTTTGATTCAAAATGAAGACTTTTGATTTAAAATTTTATTCACAATTTCCAATTTAAAAATTGACATTGTGTAGTAATCCAGAGATGATATTTCCGAAACTATTTCTCTTTTTACCTTAAGAAGCTGGTAAAAATTAGAGAATGTATGGGAAACACGTTAAATGTTGTATAAACATAGGATATAAAATTTTTGATTCATGTGTTTATTAGGAAGAATGAAACTTTTTTTGTTCTGCACTGTGCAGGTTTCTAATTGTAAAAACAAAAAGCTAATCTAAACTAAAAAAATCATTTAGTTCGATAGGAATTCTTTAAATATTTTAATTTCAAATTGGTAAAGAATAAAATATAAAGAATTTATCTAGTTTTTTTCTGTAGGAAATGCGATTAGAAATTTGACAATTTCGCCTTTGTAACATTAATTTTTTAATACTGCATATCGCTTAAAGTAATAATGCTGCTTGAAAACAATATTATTTAAACATTTAACTATAGATATTGGTTTAAAGAAAATGTGATCAATGAATTTTACATAGAGCACTGTTTGGATTAAATACAGTATAAAATGTAAATAAATATAAAAAGTTATTGATACATAATCGCCTGAAATTATTGATTTTTATTAATTAATATTTTGTTTAATGAAAATTAGGGGTGCAACAAATATTCGATTACTATTCGGCATTAGGTCTGCTTGCCGAATATTCGGCCAAGTATTTTTTGAAAGTTTTAATAGATTAAATAGAGTTATCTAAAATAGTATTTTTACTATGCATTATCAGATATAGTCTTTACACATCTTTGTTAAGTTTTTATATTGATGTGCTTGCAATATTATGTTATGGAAGATAAATTGAAAAGCAAAATTTCTGTTTTAAGAATCTAGATTGTTTACTTTTTTGTTTTTCTGTTTTGATCATAGTACAGCATTTTAACTGAGCATTTTATGATAGATTTTATTCTTTTATTTTTACTTTTTTCTAGTATGGTAAGACAGATATAGCTGGTAACAAAAAATTATGTGATTTTCAACCTTAAAGTTATATTTTAAGAAATGAGAATGTTTTTTTTTCTCTCTTTTTTGCCTTTTTTTATAAAATTATGATATTATTATGATTTTTTATTAAGAGTTTTATTATGGCGAAGCAATTAAGGGAGTTTCTATTAAACTTATTTCTTTTTTCTACCTTTAAAAAAAAAAATGCAGTATAATTGGAAAACAGATGTTAAGTTTTAAATACAGGGATGAGATTCTTCCGCGGATTCGCGGATTTCCGCTTTTTCTCAGATTTTTCCATTTTTCCCGCTAATTTTCGCTGAAATTTTTTTTTGCACAAGTTAAAATATTTTATGAGGAATTTAATTTTCCGGGGAGCGAAATTATTGAAGTCCTCATTCCTCCCTCTGAAGTTTCTCTAAAAATCATTTCCTTGGGATAAAACTGGTTGACCTTTATACGTGGATGAGATTTTTTTCGCTTTTGTCTCTCGAATTTCAGCCTTTTTATCAAAAACTCAGATTCTCTAAAAGTTTCGTTTTTTTTTTTAAAGTTTATTTATAAATATCCCGTTTTTTTTTTTTAAAAATTCAGTCGTTGAAGTCAAATTATTATATTTATTTACGATTTTCAAAGAAAAACATAAAATTCAAACTACGTCCTAGCTGCTAATCCTTCCGCATGCTTACTTATATTAGCTATTTTCTCCGATTTCACGCACAGAAAATAAGATTTTTCGTATTTTTTATCCGCCGGCGCGATAGCTCGTATTTTCGTAATTTAGACGTCGCTGCTTCTTGTATTCTGGAGAGAAAGCAAACAAAAAAAGCGGAAAAAAATAGAGGTAGATTTGTGGTGAAAATATTTATTTGCTCATTCAATTCATCTTGTAAATTTTTATTTATAGTGTAAACAAAAAACAATTCAAACAAGCCTTTTAGAAATCCCAAGTCCAGACTCTGCAAATATCTCGATTTTTATTCACGCGATTTTAATATCAATCATCGATTTTCGTATTTACCTGATTTAAAAGTTGCGCATTGCAATTCTTATTTACGCTTTTTAAATATCGTACATTATGACTCGTATTTACGAGATTTAAAAATCTAATATCGTGTTTTGTATTTTTGCATTTTTAAAATCGCGATTTTATTATCAAACATCGATTTTCGTATTTACCTGATTTAAAAGTTGAACGTTGCGATTCTTATTCAGGCCATTTAAATATTGTACATTGCGATTCTTATTTACGAGATTTAAAAAACCAATATCGCGATTTGTATTTACGAGCTTTTAAAACCCTATGTAGCTACGCGAGCTTAAAATCCAATGTCGTGATTCGTTTTTGCGGTTGTAATATCGCGCGATTTTAAAATTATGCATCTTGATCTAAAAATTACGCATCATGATTTGTATTTTCGCATTTTTTAAATTCGATGTAGAGTTTCATATTCACGTGATTTAAAAGCCTCATATCGGGATTTATAATCACATGGATTACAAGTTTAAACAAAAATTTGACAAAAAAAGTGCGATTTATATATATATATTCTTGGATTTCCTCTTTTTTACTTTCTGACTACTCTCATCCCTGTAAATATTATAGTCCATCAGTTCAGCTTAATTATGATAGATTTTTATTTTTTATGTTTTGCTTTTGTGTATAGTTTTTTGTGGGCATTTTTAAAAGCTTTTTTGGTAGACTTTTTTTTCTTTTAAAGTTTTATGTTTACTTTTATCTCTTTACTTTTATTTTTTTTCTCTCCGGAAGATACAATTTTCAGCATTGAAGTTTTGTCTTAAAAATTAAGAGAATATTTTTTGCTATTTCTCTGTTTCTTTCTTATTCAAATTTACAACTTCAGTTTTTTTTTTTTTTTTATATATATATTGTTGTAGCTATTAGTTTTTATTTATCTTAAATATTTCTGATAGATAACTTTTATAATTTTTTCTGTTAACCCCACACCAATAATATAGCTAAGTTTTGATTACTATTCAAAAATGACTAAACTTATTTATATAAAAAAAAGTAATATAAATTAATGATTTTGTATTTTTTTAAAAGAAAAATGCTATTATTCGGCCACCAATTATTTGGTATTCAGACGATTTGTTTGGCCGACTGTTCGGCATTCAACAATTCTGCCAAATCACTATTCATTACATCCCTAATGAAAATATATTAAAAATACTTGTCAAGTTTTTTTTCTCTCTCTTTGTATTTGCCATTTGGTGCACTTTGTGCAAAAATTACTGAACACATTAAACTTTCTTTATTCAATGAAAAGAATGTATTTTACATGTTAAACATATTTTCTCCACATCCATCTTAATTTTTTTTTTTTTAATTTAATGTTGTGGCAAAACATTCAAAATTCAACAAAAAAAAATAAATAACAAAATCTTGCTAAGTAAATCTTGCGTTTAAAAAATAATTTTTTCAATATGATATATTAAAAAAATATTTAATTTTAAATAAAATACTTTGCACTATTAGTTTTTTTGTTGTATCCATCCTATACTTTATGAGAAGAAGGAAAAAACACGTTCACAAACAAAACTTATAAATTGTAATTTTTTGCCTTGAAAAATCAGGAAAATTTGAAACCTGATTTGAGTGGCCACCCTGTACAATAATAACTAAAAGAGTTTTTTTTGGGGGGGGGGCGAGTTATCCATGCAGATAAAATCTTATAAACAAGAAAAAAGAGGACTGCCATGATGAACAAAAATATTTTGCTCCTCCTCGACACACCAGGAACATTTCAATTTCCTGGAAACATTTATCTTCTAAAGGCTTGAAAGAAATTATTGTCTGTTATGTTAAATCAGTTGATCTCTTATCTACAGAATAACATAAATAATTTAATCTCAAATTTGTATAATAATTTAAATTCCTTGAGTGTGTGAGTGGGACTGTAAATTTACTTTTTAAATTATTACTATTCTATTATATTTTAATTTGTTATTTTCTATTAACACAATAGATAATTTTACTTTCTAAAAATATTTGAAAATTTTAAACCTAAAGAAACAATGCTCTGGGTGGGGAAATATAAGCTTTGAGAATTTTCTGCACAAGCTGCAATTAAGCACTTTAAAAAAGAATTAGGTATTTAATGCCAACTAATGTTCTGTTTTCAGATGCTGGAATGATAGATATTATATATTGCAAATTTAAGCATTTTAACATTTTAATTCTTTCAATCACTTATCTAATAACACTACATTTATTTTAGACAATGCAGGTGCTGAAAATGAGGATGAACCACCCAGTAAAAAGATAAAAACGGAAGAAGACAAGCCTGATACATCAGTAAAAGTTGAATCAGCACCCAAAGATATTAAATCCGAAACTATGGAATAAAACAAAAGAGAGCTTGCAGTAAAAATATTTGTGTGTATATATTTGTTGCATATTTTGTTACATGTAAGTTCCATCATGTCTTATGAAAATAGTTATTCATTCATTTCTTCATTCAGAAATTAAATCAATATTGTTAATAATATAAATGGGTGCATATTACATTTGAAGACTGTATGTACATTATTAGAATGTTTCGATGCTAAACTCTCTGCATTTGTGCAATTTTTTTTTATTATTATTTATTTAGAGTGGATTAGTCATTTCTCTTAAATTTAATCCTAAAGCATTCCAAATTAGTGCTATTTCTTCATCAGTTTCAAAATGCATTTCTTCTTGTTTTTAATTATTATTAAACATGACTTCATTTCATTCTGATCTCGGATAAATAAGTATTTCAGAATAAGCTAATTAAATCTGACTATTATCCAAAGACTGCCTTTTTAAGATTCTTTGTACTATTATAAATGAAAATGGTTGTTAAAGATTTTCTCAATTCATGCATGTAAAAATATTTTCATTTTAAAAGACTGCCTTTTTTTTCCAAAAGTGCATTTTTTAAACAAAATTTGATGGATATTACCTTTACATTAATTGTAAATTTTTTTTATATATAAATAAAGGATTATTTGTATTGTAACATTTTAATGATTCCATAATTTTTTTGTCTATTTCTTGCCTCAAATGGTTTCTTGGCTTATCCAAATTTCTATTTTAACAATACTATTCACCTTTATTTACTTTTTCCTTCAAAATTCAACTCCTGATCACAAGTTAGATTTATGGCATGTCGTAATATTTCTTTATTACACAGTGTTACCTTTGAACAAAAAAATTATATAATATGAGAAAAATTAGTAGTAGGCATTTATTTCCGGTTGATATATTTGTATATTTTCATTTATCCGCCACTTAAAATTTTGCTGTAACCTTAATATTCATGCAAATATGCGTCAGTTTTTTTCCCTAACGGTTAGCTACCCTTCTAAGAAGAAGGGTGGCTATTCTTGCCTGCCCTTTTACAGGGGTGATACACCCTCTTTGTTCTTATTGTAAAAATGTTGCTCTCCTTTTTTTTTCATCAGAAAAAGCCTTTTTTTATATTTTTAAGAGAAGGGATTGTATTAGCAGGAACTGGGAATTTTAGATTACCATACCCGAAGCAAATTATATTTAGGCTACATTAATCTTATATATTATTTCTCGTATTCAATTCTGTTTTGAAAGGCTCTAATCTAGCTAGATATAATTAATATCTAATAAATATTAAGATCTATATTAATATATTTAAGATGAGTGCCCTTCAAAACTGTTTCAGCCTTTGTTTTTAAAAAAGCAGCCTGCTCTCTTTTATTTTTAAGGCTATCTCGGTATGTATGACCTTAATATCCTCTACTCAAAAATTACCTGTACTGACATATAACTATTTTGAAAGGGCACTTAGTAGAAATTTATCGAAATGTGTAATATTATGTACTAACTGAATTTTATCCTCAACAATTTTTAAATAACCCTCTTATGCTATTTTATGTTAATACAGTATAGAACCCGTTATCCGGAAATCAGAAAACCAAAAAACCGGAATGAAATTCGATAAATTTTCCCGCCATTTAAAAAAAAAAATTTTTTTTTCCTCATAAGATTTTAGGATTTTTCTTTCTTTTTTGAAAGATGTTTACCTTACCATCATTTTGGAAATAATCATTAGTGTATTCAGGGTTCGTACGCCTCCTGAAATTCCTGAAAAACTCCTGAAATTAGCATTTTTTTTCTAAGGGCCCTTACAACTCCTGTTGTTGTTGTTGTTAATTTACGTCGCACTAGAGCTGCACAATGGGCTATTGGCGACGGTCTGGGAAACATCCCGGAGGATGATCCGAAGACATGCCACCACAATTTTGATCCTCTGCGGAGGGGATGGCACCCCCGCTTCGGTAGCCCGACGACCTGCGCGCGAAGTCGAGCACTTTACGGTAGCACAGTTTAACGAGGACCAATACCGCACACCCTCGGTCCCTACGCAG